GCGGCCGCTCCGCCCGCCCCGCCGCCGGGCGGGGCCGCGCGCGGGCGGAGAACAAAAGGCGGCGACGGGAGGGGGGGATCGGCGGGTGCGCTTGTGGCAACAGCGACCCCTGCGAGCGGCACCGGCACCGGCACCGGCACCGGCACCGGCACCGGCACCGGCACCGGCACCGGCACCGGCACCGGCACCGGCACCCGCACCCGCACCCGCACCGGCACCGGCACCGCACCCGCACCCGCACCGCACCCGCCTCTGCTGCAGCCTCCCCGCGGGCCAAGCTCCCCGGGACATCCCCATTTTGGAGTCACTAGGGCAGCCCTGGGGATGGGGCGCCTGGAGCATCGCTGCGGTCCCCGCAGCCGCCCCTCTGTGTCCCCCTTTCCTTCCTCCTACAGGAGGGTACCCGGCGGTCCAGCTCCCCTCTGACATCCCTGGGGGCTATGGGGCATCCTCGACGCGGACCCCTGGGGTGCACCCATGGGGGCAAGTGCCCTGGGGCTCCCCTAGAGCTGGGGGTCCCAGGAGCCCCGCGTGGCTGGGGTCCCTGGGGCCCCAGTCCCCGCAGCTGCCGCTGCCGGCCGCCCGCACGGGCTTCTCTCCCGTTACAGACGCAGCCCTGGCCGGCTGCGGGCGCGCAGCCCAACGGCCGCGTTTGAAAAACGCTCCCCCGCGCCTCCCCCCAGCGCCGCCTCGCAGCCAAGCGCTGCAGCTGCGCGGGGAACCGGCGCCTCGGCCTCCTCTTCCCTGCCCGGCCTCCCTGCGCCTCGGCCTCCTCTTCCCTGCGCGGCCTCCCTGCCGCGGTGCCCACCTGGGAGCCGAAGCTGGGGGCTCTCCTGGAGCGGCTCCTCAAGATGCCGCGAGGATGGGGCACGTGTTGAGTTTCCTAACCTGCCCCAAGCTGCAATGGGGGGTCCCCGGGTGCCCTGGAAAGCAGCAGGGTGGCACAGAGCCCATCCAGGAGCTCTTGTGCCAGCCCTGGCGCTGAGGGGACGCAGTCAGGATGAGGAGGTGCAGAGGGCAGCGGGGATGAGGCCACACCGGTGGGCACGTGCACCCCCGCATAGCGAGACCCCAGCACCACGGGGGGCTGCAAAACGCTTCCCAGACTGAGCGCCCCGCAGGCAGCCGCGATGCTGACGCTGCCCCGCACGCAGCGCCGGTCCCCTGCGCTCCATGGCCAGGCTGCGGCTCCCTGTGCCGAGTCCGGCCGAGCTGGCTGCTCCCGAGGGAATTATTTAATAAATGTGAATTAAGTGCGGGCAGGCGGCTCTGCGATGCCCTGGAAGAGAAGCAATGAGCTTAAGAAGCCCCCTGGGCCGCGCGAGCCTGGATGGCAGCCAGCGCGGCACATCCCTGAGCACTGGGATGCTCCGCTTGCTCGTGTCTCTGTGAGCACTGGGATGCTCTTCTCTCTCGTGCCTCTGAGCACCGGGATGCTCTGCTCACTCGTGTCTCCATGAGCACTGGGATGCTCCGCTCACTCCTGTCTCCATGAGCACTGGGATACTTCGCTCGCTCGCGTCTCCCTGAGCACCAGGATGCTCCGCTCGCTCATGTCTCTGAGCACCAGGATGCTCCGCTCACTCCTGTCTCTGAGCAGCGGGATGCTCCGCTCGCTTGTCGTGTCTCTGAGTGCTGGGATGCTCCGCTTGCTCATGTCTCTGAGCACCAGGATGCTCTGCTTGCTCATGTCTCGAGCATCGGGATGCTCCACTCGCTCGTGTCTCTGCAGCCAGGAACGTGGCTCTGGGAGCAGGAGCCCTTGGCCTCCACGCAGCCAGGTCCTCCCGCTGGCCCCATCATCCCGATGCTTTCAGAGGGGGAAGCGGGGTGGCCTGGGGGCACAGTGGGACGTGAGGTGTGTCTAGGAGCACCAAGGAGGAGTTCCCAGCGCAGCCAAGGCGGCAGGGCCACCTGGGGCACCGATCCCAGTGGATGCACCGAATGTGTCCGTAGCACCAAGAGATGAGCCCAGGCAAGCAACAGCTCTGGGCTCCTGGATGTCCCTGTGGATCAGGCCCAGACCTGGATTGGCCCTTGCTGCTGCTGGCGGCCCCTGGCTCAGCCCCTTGCTGAGGCCGTCACGTTCATTTTGGGTTAAGATGCTGAAAAGCTCACAGCACGGAGCCTTCTGCGAGCAGCAGCTGGCAGCAGCTCCCATCCCCAAGACCATGAGCAAGCAGGGATCCTGCCTGAGCCTCCATGGGCCAGCCCAAATCCTGAGTTCCACATGAACCCATAAAATCTCAGGGTGGGGGGAAATATATATATGTATTTCACAGAATCATGGAATCACAGAACGGTTAAGGTTGGAAGGGACCTCTAGAGATCATCCAGTCCAACCCCTTGCTCCAGCAGGGACACCCAGAGCACAGGGCACAGGGTGGCATCCAAGTGGGTTTGAAGACCTCCAGAGAAGGAGACTCCACAACCTCCCTGGGCAGCCTGTGCCAGGGCTCTGGCACCCTCACAGGAAAGAATCACAGAATCACAGAATCACAGAATATATATATATATATATATATATATATATATATTTACAGGTGCTTCTCATGCCCAGCCCGTGTTTGGCACCCCCTTTACGTGCACAGTGCTTGGGTGTGATGCCCGGGGCTTACGCATGCCAGTGGCAGCAGAGGAGGGCTGAGCGCTTCCCACTCCAACTGCGCATCCCTCTGGAGCGGCTCCCGGCCGCAGCCATGGCAACGGGGCTGCTCTGGGTTTTCCGCCATCCCCTATCTGGGAGCATCCCGCCTTCTCCCTGCGCTGCTGCGGGAACATGCAAGGCTGAGCAAAGCCCCGGAGCTGCCCCTAAGCTGCTTACAGCCCAGGCAACAGCGCGGCGCCGACGCGAGCCCGAGCCCGAGCCCAGCAACAGCCTCCAGGGCCAATCCCACCGCCCGGCATCACTGGATTTGCTGCCTACTGCTGCCCGTGGCTGCCACCTCCTTGCCCTGCGTCTGCACCAGGGCCCTGGTAACACCAGCTCCGGGTGCTCAGGGTTGTTTGGATGTTGCTCCCATCTCCTGCACTCCCTAGAGTGGCTTTTGCAGCACAGGTTGCACGTCATCTTGCACCGTTTCTGCATCCCACCATGCCAGGTGGGTCCTCACGAGTCCTCACAGAACTCCTGAGTCCAGTAGGTTTCACCACAGATTTCAGATACACAGCTGCAAAAATTAACTTCAGTTGGCATCAGAAAACAGAATAATTGCCCCCATCCCCATCACCTGCCTCCCTCCCGTTGCCACTGGCCTCTCCACTCATGCTCTCCCTGCACCTCGCTCACTTCACCTTTCCCAAAACTGCAGGATGCATCCAGAACAGAAGTGCTACATGCAGCTCAAAGGCCACTAAAATGCCCTTTGCCACCAAGATGCAGCTCGATGTGGTCCTGTGCAGAGTCCACCCACTCCTCAGGCATCTCATCCCCCAGAGCAGTGCAGGGAGTGGGATCGGGTGACTCAGCACCCCCAAATCCAGGACCAGGCTGGCTCAACACCCCCAAGTGCAGGTCCTGACCCCAGTCCCCCGCTGAGCAATTCAAAGATTTGCCTGCATTGCCATCTGGTGCCTGCTGGAAACAGCGCGGCTGCCGCAGCACAACCCAGCATCGCTGCACCGGGGAAGCAAAGTGAACTCATTTTCAATCCGAGTTAATTAATCCAAAAAATATGAGTCGGTTAGAAAGCTTCAGGGCATCCGTACGCTGTTCAGGTGTGCAATTTACAGAAAATGCAATGCCAGGTAACCTCTAAGGTCTGAATTAGGGCAAAAATGTTTAGAGTAGAAAGGAGTATGCATGATGTATGTGTGGCAGTTTATGGGGTTTGATATGTGCGTTGAGAAGCTGACTGAACCCTGGCTTCCAGAAAACCTCCTACACTGCAGGAAAACCTCCTTCACTTGACACATTAACCCCAGAGCCCTATCCAAAATGATTATTTTAGTGGAGCTGATACGAGGGAGGAAAGCAACCCAAAAGCATCTTGAGGCCACATCAGCGCGCAGGGCTCAAAGCCCTGGCACATGCATTGGCCTAGTTGTGTTTGCACTCGCTTTTTGGACAAGGCTTTGTAGCCAGAAGCAGCCCTTTATAAGGCAGCCCTTGAACAGGAGATGGGAAGGGAATGCAGAGAGCCCTAGCGATTTCCTTGGAAAAGGTCCCCTGAGGGGCATGAAAGCATCACCGCATCAGGGCACGTAGGTAGCAACTGAGCAGAGAGGGAAAAATACCAGTGTACTTCACCCAAGCACCATATCTGGTCGGTTAATAAAGGCACTATGGACACTAACAAGCCTTAAGTTCCCCAACCAACCTCAGTTGGAGCCTCCATGCTCCACTCATGGTCCAGGAGCTCCATTTAAGCTCATGCGTGGGCTCTTGCTGCAGATGGTCTCTG